ATCATTGTGGGAAAATTCTACTACCAGTCCTTCATCCCCTTACACGAAATAGGGTGAATACATCTCATTTACTGGTAGTGTCGAAACCCTACACAATTACGACTATTAATCTAAATCCACTTTTTCTCTGTATATTCAAAATATATATCGGCATGAGTCAATAAGGAAAGTATAATAAGATGGTAAAGAGTAGATAGATAGACAATTACAGAAAGAGGAGTAATAGTTTAACCGTTTTCGGTAGAACGCTTGTCGAGAGATTGACTCCACATGTCTCTTTGACGAGTTCGTAGGTTGTTGTGGCGAATGGCAAAACTGACTGATGATGCCGGCGAAACGTTTAAGAATGTACCAAGTCCATTGTCTGATGATGGGAACCATGATAACTAGAATGGCAGACGACTTCGGACTCGGTGCGTTCTAAATGGTCGCCCTGACAAAAAGACCAAGTTGCGACAATGAGGTCAACCCATTTCTATAAATCGAAGGATATTGCGACCATAACAGAGGCCACAATATGTTGGTCTTCATATATTCAAAAGTTTAGTCTTTTTTTACCCGAAACAAGGCAGGATTTCTCGTGAACTGCGTCAACCTGAACGTGGTAGCGAGGTTAAACGTCTGCAAACAACGGGACTCAGTAATTGTCTCCTGGCGAAATCGACTCATGAACCTCTTCATCAAATACACTTAAATACGAAATAAAAGTCTCTACAACAATATTATCCCAAAGAGATTAATCTAAATCAAGTTTTTCTCTGTATATTCAAGAGATATATCGGCATGAGTCAATAAGGAAAGTATAATTGATATGACAAAAAGTTGCAATTCGAAAGTCCCCTTCACTTTGGTCTCCCCCAAACTCTAAGGAGGACACTGCCTTTGCGCCATTTTTACTTTTACTTTTGTTGTAAAAGTTCTCTGCAAAGCCGTCCTATCTTCCCAAATCATTCGTGCTCAGCTTTTATGTGTCTTGCGGTGACACATAATCCTTCACGCAATGAGCAGCATTAGATTAAACAAGAAAAAACAGGTTTCGAGTCCCATTGTGGGTGCTGAAAGAGGCAATTTAGGCGAAGTTGAAACTACAGTCCAGTCCAGTTCATTCCAGCTGGAATGAGACAGCATTTTGAAAAGCAAGTCGAAGTGACATTCAAAGCTATCCTAAGACTTACTTGTAACCATCAATTTTTCATCATCTAATACGACAGAGGGTGACTACAACTCTTGCCCAATAACGAACGGTTCAGCACATTTCGGCTTTTGGCGTAAATGCCGCTTTCCGGTTCTCACGAGAGAGCAAGGATCGGGGATCACATGACGCTGATTCGAGGGCCTTCTCGTAGACTCAAACGGCCTCGATTTCTTCGTCAGATTGTGATGAGATCAATTCCAACCAACTTTCCTTTTAAAAGAAAAGGCAAATTGAAGCATAATTACTGTTGGTGAGAGGGCGGAAGCAGAAATGGGAAACAGAATGACGGATCTATCGTAGGGCGGAGGTGGGATTTGGCCAAAAAGAGTTGCTGCTGTCAAAGAGACTAGCCACTAGTCCGGCTCCCTTTGGCACGGTCATCATGATACTTCCAATACCGGACTGTGGAATTGGTACATGCCCAACGCAGGCTGGCAACTATCAAGACTACTATAGAAGATGATGCTGGATAGGACGCCTGCTTCGAAGTCATCCCGACGATACAGCCAAGTTTCCAACAGCAGGCCAACACCAATCCTGTAAACACGAAGAAAATGTGGGTTTCGAAGAATATTCTGAGATAAGATTGTTGTTACGATTTACATTTCATTTGAAAGTGGATCATGAAGAGATCCTTTGATCAATCCCACCGTAAGACGTCGGCTGATTCGCGTTGACTAGCCTCAATACGACGTTCAGGTGTATGCAGTCCACGAGACAGCCTCCAACGCTTCAAGCGAAGACGGGCTGACTTTTCTTTCATCAAGCCACATGACGAACTTTATCAAAACTGAGACTCACTCCTGCAAAAGCTTCAAGTCAACACTCAGTGAAGAAGACTGACCAGTTTTTTGCTAAATGATATATGCACTTATTGCGAGAAAAGTTTTGATATAGATGGATTTAGAAAAATCTTCATATACGATTAGAGTTTCGAGACTACCGGTAAATCAGTAACATGAAATGTATTCACCCTATTTCGTCTAAGGTAATAAAGGACTGATAATAGAATTTTCCCACAATCATATGAATTGAGCTGACGCTTCCATCGAATTTCCCAAAAGTTGTTCTCATCCAGGGTGAGAAAACAAGGCTATGTGAAATTCAATGGAAACGTAAACTCGACTCATATCCTTGTGGGAAAATTCTACTACCAGTCCTTCATCACCTTAGACGAAATAGGGCAAATACATCTCATATTTAGAAAAATCTGTCTACTTGACTTGGTGTTAGCTTGAGGTCTTTGCAAGAATGAGTCCCAGCTCTGACAATGTTCGTCATATGAGGAAGAAAAGCTTAGCCCGTCTTCGCTCGAAACGTCGGAAGATGTTTCGTGGATTCATCAACCTGAACGTCGAATTAAAGCCAAACGGCTGCAGTATAACGTCTTCCGGTGAAATCGACCCGAGGATCTGTTTATCATGCAGTTTCCTACAACAGTAAACTCTTCGTAACAATAATTCCTGTACTATGAAGCGAGACTTCAAGTAACATTGATGCCACACCAGCTGGAGTCTCACACCTGCAAGTAAATTATGTCGTAAAGTCAAAAAGAGACGAGACAATCGATATACTCCAAATTGAAGGCAAATGTACAAGGTGAAATGCTTCAGAAGAAAAATTGGGAAAATCAATGAATGCATCTGAAAATGCTCGCTAAATTTAGAGCATCTGTGCAAGGTGAAATCTCGCATGAGAGAAAGTTGGGACAATTAAGGGAAATTAAATGAACCGGGCTGAGTCAGTACAGTACAAGCGAGGTCGAAATTGCAGTCCACATAAGCTGGGAAGAGGAAAACTTTTGGGAAAGCAAGGCTATGTGAATTCAATGGAAAACACAGATCTACTCATATCATTGTGGGAAAAATCAACTACCAGTCCTTCATTAACATAAACGAAACGAGGTGAATACAACTCATATATCTGATTTACTGGTAGTCTCGAAAACCTTTTCCACTTTGACTGCCCGGCAGATTCGAGCTCACCCCACCGTCTTATCAACAGCCCCAAAGCAGACTTGAACTTGGGCCGATACTTCATCAGATACCCGCTAATACCAATGGGTCAAAGGGCCGATTTGACTGTCAAAGCAAGCCTAGACCCTCCGATCTCACAGTTATTGTTGGATTATCGAGACAGTAAACATATATTTATCATTAAAACTGACGACGTTACTTACACGTCAACGATAAGGAATTATGATATGAATTCACTCTATTTTGTTTGAGATGATAAGGGAATTAATAGTTGAATTATCCAAAAATGCTCAAAGTAGACATGATTTTTCCAATGAATTCCACCTAGTCTTGCTTCTCCAGACTAAAGTGGACTTCAGTTGGAACCTTGCCTAAACTTTTGCTATCAGTACCCTCAGCGCGACTCGAACCATTCCAGTGCAGCTTATAATCTCGTCACGTTAGCCATGAGTACAATTGGGTCACAGAGCTAATGTGATAAAAATGCCCATTGAGAAGCAAGGCTAGGTAAAATGTAATAGAAACCAAAAATTTATT